AGAGCATTTAATTTGAAATGTAAGGTAAGAAAAATGCCCCAAAGGCAAAGACTATAAGAATTCAGAGGGTATTCTAGGTGGAGGGAATGGCTAGAGCAGAGGCTCAGAAAGGATATATCTTCAGTTTCCAGCAAAAGATTCAGAGGGTCATGTTTCAGTGGAAAAAAAATTATTTTTTATCTGAGGGCCTAAAAGCAAGCAAGAACCAACCTTGTCCTTAACTCAACAGGTTCCCTACATATTAATAAAAGACCACTAAATGGGGTGCCTGGGTGGCTCAGTTCTTTAAGCATCTGCCTTTGGCTCAGGTCATGATCTCTAGGTCTTGGAATTGAGCTCCACATCTGGCTTCCTGCTCAGTGGGGAGTCTGCTGCTCCCTCCCCCTCTGCCCCTGACCCCCACTCATGTGCTCAGGCTCTCTCTCAAATAAAATCTTTAAAAAAATAAATAAAAATAAATAAATAAATAAATAACCACTAAAATTTATCACCCATCTGTGACGCCTTTGAGAGATAAAAGAGTAAAAATGATAAAAATCAAGTAAATTCATATTTATTTTAATATATTTTTAATACTTGAAGTATTTATGTATTGACCAAAAAAGTGCTTTATTCATAAAATTATTTTCAGGTGCGCCTGGGTGGCTCAGTTGTTGAGCATCTGCCTTCGGCTCAGGTCATGATCCCGGGGTCCTGGGAGAGAGTCCCACATCAGGCTCCCTGCTCTGAGGGAAGCCTGCTTCTCCCTCTCCCACTCCCCCTGCTTGTGTTCCCTCTCTTCACTGTCTCTCTCTCTCTCTCTGTCAAATAAATAAAATAAAATCTTTAAAAAATAATTATTTTCAAATATGTTTTCCTAGAAAAAAACAATATGTATCTATACATTAAAGGAAATTTTAAAATTTTTATAATGATTATCTGAACGTTTAAAAATCGGTTAAGCACAATTATAACAAAAGAAAATTATAGATTAATATCTCCATGGGCATAGATGTAAAAGTCCTGCATGAGATATGAGCAAATTTAATACAGGACATATACATCAAGACCAAGTGAGGTTTATTCCACAAATGCAAGACTGTTTAACATTTAAAATTCAATCAATGTGGGCACCTGGGTGGCTCAGTTGTTAAGCGTCTGCCTTCGGCTCAGGTCATGATCCCAGGGTCCTGGTATCGAGCCCCACATCGGGCTCCCTGCTCGGCGGGGAGCCTGCTTCTCCCTCTCCCACTCCCCCTGCTTGTGCTCTCTCTCTCGCTGTCTCTGTCAAATAAATAAATAAAATCTTAAAAAAAAAATTTAAAATTCAATCAATGTAACTCACTGAAAAAGAAAATATAGTTATCTCAATAGATGTAGGTATGATCAAGAAAAAAAAATCTCTCAACAAACTACAGTTGACCTTTGAACAATGCAGAGGTTAGGGGACCCAACCTCCAGTGCATTCAAAAATCCTCATATAACCTTGACTCCCCATAAACTTAACTACTAATAGCCTACTGTTAACCAGAAACCTTACCCAAAAACATAGTTAACACGTATTTTGTATATGTATTATATACTGTATTCTTACAATAAAGCAAGGTAGAGAAAAGAAAATGTTAAGAAAATAAGAAAGAGAAAATACATTTATAGTACTGTACTGTAGTAATAAAAGAATCTGTGTATAAATGGATTCGTGCAGTTCAAACCCATGTTGTTAAAAGATCAACTGTAGGAAGAGAACTACTTTTTTTTTTTTAAGATTTTATTTATTTATTTGAGAGACCACAAGCAGGGGGGAATGGCAGATAGAGGGAGAAGCAGGCTCCTCAGGGAGCTTGAGCAGGGACCCCCATTCAGGGCTCAATCCCAGGACTCCAGGATCATGACCTTCAAGTTGAAGGCAGAAGCTTAACTGACTGAGCCACCCAGGCACCTCAAAAATCTATATCTTTTGACTCCCCCCAAAATTAACTGCTAATAGCCTACTATTGACCAGAAGCCTTACTGATAACATAAATTGTCGATTAACACATATTTTGTATGTTGTTTGTATTACATACCATATTCTTACAATAAAAGTAAGCTAGAGAAAAGAAAATGTTATTAAGAAAATCATGAGGAAGAGAAAATACATTCACAGTGCTGTACTGTATTTATTGAGAAAAATCTGTATATAAGTGGACCCATGCAGTTCAAAACCCTGTTCAAGCCCTCAACTTTGTTTTTAGTAACTACAAATTGCTAAGCACTTCAAAAGCTGAACTTCTGGGGACTCTATTTATTGATTACTTTGTTTTCATATTTCTAAGTAATTTTGAACACTTACAAGTGAGTTCAATATTATTGTATTGCACTTTAGTTTACAAAGAACTTCTTTAAGGGTTCAAACATTTCTAAACTTTGATGAGTGGCAAAGAGAGAAAGCACCTACTTCTACACTGAATCTGAATTATTTTTTATTTCAACATCAAGCTTGTAAAATATATATGTATATATAGTTCAGTACTCTAATTGCATGTATGTATAAAATATTTATAAAATTTGGCAACTCTAGCTTCCATTTCAGTTATTAGAGCATCATAGCCCTTTTAAGATGCATTTACGAATTTTGTAGATACGACAACCAATACAACAGGCACATTTATTCAATGTATATTTCTTAATTTAGTGGAACATGATTTTTACCATGTTTTTACAAGGTTCTCATCACAACTTGAATTCATTTTATTACTGTATAAAGCAAATAATTTTATCTCAATGTTGAACTTTCAAAATAAATTTATGATGGCTTTAACAATAGTGTCAGATGTTTTATCTTGGCAAAATGAACTCCATCTAGTTTTACTTTTTTTCCCCATGATTGGTATGGGGATAAAAGGCAACCATTTTTAACTGGCTGGTGTTCTATTTGTAGCATCTGATATGTTATAAGATTCTCATCATTTAAACATCTGTGAAGTGATTCTGTTAAAGGAACCAATAAAATAATAGTTCTTGTTTCACTTTTGTAGGGTCATAAGAAAACTTGGAATCTAAAATGAAGTCCTTTGACCCAAATGGAAAGTTTTACTTTACAGAGTGACATGTAAATAGCTTTCTGCAGCTGTTAGTTAAATCATGATCTCCAGGCACAACCATCTTAAAATAACAGTAACTTCTGAAGTGGATATTTTTTGGTTTTCAGGTGGGCAGCCATTATGGTCCTCCTGTTGGATGGGGAATTTTAACATTTTTGCAAATTACCCCACCATTAGCTTTCCTGAGAAACAGAAACTCAATCATTAGTTTTTCATGAAATAGTCTGGGCTTTTAGCTCATTACTGCCAAAAGTTTATTGTGATTAAAAATAAAAAGCATTGATAACAAAATAAAACAAAAGTTTGAAGATTTATACATAGGATACTGTGGGAGCAAGAGTATTCAATCATTACAGTACTTCTACATTATGGTAACCAGCTTCTATTTCCTGCACGTATCTCATAGACACCTAATCTGTAATTACCACATTTCCTAAAGATCCTTCTGATTAGCAGCCTGGAAGTCTGTTACATCTTGAAACCTGTAGCATGGGCCATGGCATAATTGGCTAGAACGCCAAATAGACTGCAGGGACAACTGTGTTGAATACTTCTTCCTCCACCCCCAAACTAGAAGGATTTAACTGTTCTAAGCCACCTGAGTCCAAGTGCATATCATTTTATCAATTAAGACTCTGCATACTGTCCTGAACAGCTATTCTTATTTTGCATTTTAAAAGATTCTGGAATAGAAAGATAAGATTATCTTTCATTGTTTTTATATGTGTTAAGGTGAGACTTCTTTTTCCTGCATACTACTCTCACACTTCTACATGAAACTATAGTAAAAATTGCAAGTACAAAATAAAGGCCCATCATATTGATCCTCACTTATTATAATACAATACTTAATACTACTTGTTTAAATCAGGAAAAAAATTTAAATGGGGATTGCCTCAGGCAAACTGGGACATACAGAAACCATACAGTGGTTTAAAGTCATGGTGAAAATAAATTCAATTCAAAGCCACAGGTAATTGTTGAGGACCTACTAACCCCAAGAACCTTTGCTATGAGCTGAAAGGAAATACAAATAGGAATTAAGCCAATTCCTTCCTCTTACCTTTAGAAAGGACATATATACAAAGGATTTACATTCAGAGTAAAATGGTATGACATTTTCTGGAAAATTAAGGAAGTGAGACTCCTAAATTGAAGAAAATAACTGATGGTATTTGTTTCTAATGATAAAACTTGAGCTTTTAAGTAAAAATGAGAATTGGAAGCTTGACAGTTTCCCAATTTTCCCAATATTTAAGGGTTTTCTGATGAGATTGATGGTGATTATGAAATATGTCAACATTTCAAAGACCTGCATAATTCAGTGAATCATTATTTTCTAAATGACAAACGTGTGAGTAATGTTACAAAATCATGCATGGCCATTCAAATTGCAAAACAGACCAATGGATTTTAATATAACATATTGATATGGTTTCCAATTCCACATTACAACTAACCTTAATACACAACACTTTGCTAAGTTTGGGTTTAGTATACAAAAAAATGAAGTATTCAGAGTTTTCTGAAAAGACTATCACAACATGCCCTTCTTTTTCCAACCACGTATCTGTGTAAGGCTGAATTTTCTTCCTGTGCTTTAACCAAAATAGCTAATCACAATAGACTGAGCACAAAAGAGGTTATGATAATCCAGCTGTCTTCTCTTAAATCAGGCATTAAAGAGGTTTGCAAAAATGTGAGACAATGTCACTTTTCTCATAAATTGTTCTATTTTAGAAATTTGTTTTCATTACAGTGTTATTTACATTGACATGTATTATTTCCATTTTTAAGGGAGTTAATAAATAAAGATTGCCTTAAATAATACAATTGAATTCAATTTCATAACACTAGGGCTTTTGAGAAAACAGGGGAAAGATTATAGCAGTAATGATCAGGAAAGTTTTTCACAAAAGACCTGGTATTCCAGTTAGACTCTGAGAAGTGGCTTGGATTTTAATAGGAAGTATTTTTAAAAGAATGAAAAGTCACAAGTAAAGGCATAGAAACAGAAGAGCACCTGATAGTCTCAGGTAATAAGGAGTGATGAGTTCAGTTTGCTAAAATACGAGGAAGACACCATTCCGTCCTGCTTTTCTTCTTACCCCTACACCCATTGCTTTTGTCTCTTTTTTGTCCTTTCTTCCTTCTCACTCCATAAATATTGATGCTTCCAATGGTCTTATCCTTGGATATCTCTTCTCATTCTATCTAATCGTCCCTCACAAATTGCATCCATCTCCAAGACTGCAACTTCACTTCTTGGCTTCAGATCCCAGATACTCGTCTCGTCTTTCCTCCCAAGCTCCAGAGCTATACGTTCTGGACATCTGAAAGGCAACCAAACTCATGTGAAATAGATGTCTTCCTTGAAACTTGAAACCACTGTCTCTCCTACATCCCTTTCTTGGCATGTTCCATTGAGGAGTAGCTCAGGTCAAAACAGCAGAACCCCCCCACTCTGCGCTCTCAACTTCCTCCCTCATATTCATTCAATTCCATCCCACTGTTTCACCTTTTTCTTTTTATACTACTGCACTATTTTCCTTCCCCCTTTTTATATTAAGATATAATTAACACAACATTATATTAATTCAGGTGTACAACATGGTGATTTGATATTTGCATATATTGTGAAATGACCACCACAATAAATCTAGTTAACATCCATCAGCACACATAATGACAAATCTTTTTAGTGGTAAAACTTTTAAGATCTACTCTCTTAGCAACTTTCAAATACAGTATTGTTAACTATAGTCACCATGCTGTATAGTACACTTGTGACTTATTTATTTTATAACTAGAAGTTTGCACCTTTTGACTATTTTCTTAGTTCTGTCTCTAGTCTTAACAATCTTTCATTCCATCCTCCATATTGCTGCCAAAGTCGGTAGTAAAAAAGCAACACATATAATATAATCATGTTGTTTCCCTGTTTTGAAACCCTTTTGTGGCCCCTTCCAGGAACTCTTAGCATCTTAGTGGAACATAAAATGCCAACCATTATCTGGCCCTTGATTACTTTTCCATTCTTAATGCTTGGCAATGACCCTCCTCAACCCATAGGATATTCCTTGCTTCTGCCATATCAAAGAGCTTGCAGTTCTCCAGATGTTTCCAGGTTGTTTTACTTTGCCATGTACTTGTTCGGGTACTTTCTCTTCCAGGAATGCCTTTCCCTGCTCCATCAACAAAGATTACCAAGTCACCTTTTATGATTGTTCTCATGATTTCTTTTAAGAATCGTTCTCTTTACATTGGGTTAAATAATATAATTTATTCTCTCTTTTAATAATAACATTTTAAAAGTGATTGTTAGAATTTAAAATGTTTTTAAAACTATTCTTAATTGATTTACCCTCTCCACAGCAAAAAAATACCACTGTAGGAAGCACTTTGCGCAAGCTCATGTTGTTTTAAATAAGAAGCAGAAAAAATTTCAATATTTAGTGGAAAGAAGCCAATAGGTTTTTCTTCTAACATTCCAACCTATAAACTGGCAAACAAAGAGCTAAGATTTATAAAACATATGCTCAATATCCAAATGTATATTGTGTCCCTTAAAAACTTGTTTCACAAATGATTTTATATTGCTGGAATTCCTTGAATATTCAAATTTAATTTTGGTGGATTTGACATTCTTTTATATCTCAGAAGATATTTTGTTTTGAGAGGTTTTTTTTTTTCTCAAGCAGAGCTAAATTTCTAGTCTTTCATATTAACACAGCTATTCATTCACAGTTCACTTTAAAAAGGATTAAAATTCTTAAGCAGAAACATCATAAGTGTATTTGCCATCCCCTGAATTCAAGTGATATCAGAGGTACAGATAAGCCTGCCAGAGACTTGCTTTATCACTGGGCTCAAGTCCCCAAAATCAGTGAGCCCTTGTAGCTTTCTGTGAAAAACACAAAAACCTGAAAAGGTGTTTTATGAAGTCAATTTAAAAAAAATGAAACATGCTTAGTTTTATACAGTATCTTCAGTTAAACTGTTCACCTACATCTAACATTGCGTATGAACTCCTAATAATCTGAACCTTTGAACTTCATTAAGACATTTCCAATTCTACCACTAAAAAATAATCTAATAGGAAGAATTTTGTCAAAAGAAACTGATAATAAGTGATACCAGCAAGGATCTTGTTATATCCTCATTGTGCTTTGCTTTTTTGGTCTTGAAGGCAGAATGATGACACAATACTCTTAATTAGATGCCTAGGGACTATGTCAATTTAAAAATTGCCTAAACACAGAGCTGGAAATAACCTGTTTAAGATTTTAAAAAACAAAATTCAACTGAGTAAATGTTAAAGATCTTATTGGCTTTATTCAGCGATTTATGAGTCAGACAGCGTCCAATCTAGCAGATAGAAAGGAGCTCCAAAGAGCTGAACAAAATGAAAGACTTTATAGGCGGAAAAGAGCAGAAACAAGAAAGTTATACTAGGCCAAAAGTGGATTGGTTATTGCAAGATTATTTTCCTTTAGGGGATGGTAGTGATCTATCAAGTAGATTACCTAACTAATGCTGATCAGTTAACTTCTGGCTGACTGGTTGAAAATTCTGTTTTTGGGAACCCTAAAACTGAATTATGTGTTTGGAGACATGGAGGTTAGCATGAGTGACTCCATTTTGAGCCTGTTGTCTTGTTTTTAATAAAACAAATTTGGATGGAAATATATATATATAAAATTTACTGAGGAGATGCAGAATGTACACAGCTTTTATACTTAATTATGTCAAGAAGACATTATCCCAGTTATAGAAATGACAGGTCTCACATTTACCTACCAATATAGACTTCAGGGTCTATCATATTCATTTTAAGAGCAGAAATAATCATCAAAAAGGCAGGGGGAAGCATCACTTATTTGCTATTCAGGTGATTCACCGACATGAGATTTTTCATAGGTTTATAATGTTGGCGATGCTTTTCAGTGCCTTGTAAGCACCATCTGCATGAAAGTAGGGTGGTGGGTTTTTTTAAAAGGACTTAAAGAGGGAGGCAAGAAATAAGTAATGGAGTCAAGACAGCTAGGAACTAGAAAAGAATAAAAGAGATGTGAAAACCACCTGAGAAATCAGCCAGCATTTGTGGAAAGAATATAGGATTATAGAAGTTCGGGTCCCAAATGTTGAGAATGAGAAAAATCAAAATTTAATGAGGCAAAAGTTTTATGACAGAGTGATGAGATCTCTGGCAAATCAGATTTTTCCCCATTTATTTTTCTGTTTAAAAGATTCTGTTTCATAGAAGCCGTGTTGTCAGTTTAGTAGGGATGGGAGAGCAAATGGCAATGGTAATACTGTAGTTCCCCTTATCCACAGAGGACACGTTCCAAGACCCCCAGATGATGCCTGAAACCACAGAGAGTACTGAACCCTGTAGAAACTATGGTTTTTTTTTTCCTATACCTACCTACCTACAATAAAGTTTAATTTATAAATTAAGCACAGCAAGAGATTAACAATAAATCATAATAAAATAGAACAATTATGACAATATATTGTAATATAAGTTGTGTGAATGTGGTTCCTCTCTCTCTCACAATATCTTACTGAACTATACTCACCCTTCTCCTATGATGTGAGATGATAAAGTGCCTACGTGATGAGATGAAGTGAAGTGAACGACACAGACACTGTGATGTAGCGTTAGGCTGCTACTGTCTGACCATAGGTCAGCAGGAGGATCGTCTGCTTTGGGACTGCAGGTAACTGAAACCGTGGAAAGCTAAATGTAGATAAGGGGGAACCAGTGTACTTTTAAACAGGACAGAAAGCTCTTAGCTTCAGAAATAAAAGGGAGGAGGCTGTCCCATCTCTCTGAGAGAGTAGATGCAAGACCATCCTGAAGAAATTTTGGTTTTCTACCTTCTGCTCCCCATTTAGAGACACATCATGCCTGCTTTATGTACAGATGACATCTTAAAGCTGAAATTTGGAAGTAGAAGAATTGGCTTTTATAGTTAAAGCATCGTGCTACAAAAGCGGATTTACACCTTCTTTTGGATGGCTGGGAAACTGTCAATGCAAGCCATGGAAAGAAGGCATAGCGCCTAGAAAGACGGAGGCTAAGAGCCAAATTCCAGGAAATCAAGGACTGTGTACAGTGTTGGGTTAAAGTGAGCCATAAATGGAAGAATTTCCTCTCCCCTCCCTTCCCTCCCTCCACTCTCCGATTTGTGTGTGGAGGTGGGGATGGGGAGCATGTGTCTGCGTGCACACATACATCTTAATGTACATATATTTTAGGAGCTGATTCCTTTTTTAAAAAGTTTGTTTCAAAGTATCCTCTTGAAATGTAGTTATAATTCAGTTCGCTTTAACTCTTAAAATAGGCTTTATAATGAAAGTATAGCAAATGTGGAGAGAGTTTGCAATCATGCAAAAGGCACTGGAGGTCAAAAGGTCTGGGTTCCAGTCCCAACTTTCCCAAATCCCTGTGACTGTTACCTTGACTATCTGAATCTCAGGTTGCACATCTGGGGAAGGAAAGGATTGGACTCGAATGATCTCTAAGGCTTCCTCCAACTCTGACATTTGATTATTCTGTGAAGTCTGGGTTAAGCAGAGAGGCATCCTTTGTATAGCATGTTAACATCTGGTAGAGGCATCCCCAAAGAGTAAGAGCAGGAAGGGACAAAACGAACTTCTGAAATATTGAAATTGTCCCCTCAACAAATGAGTAGCTAGCTTGCTTTGTAACAAAGCGGGGAAAAAAGGATCACATTAATAGCCACACGTGGTTTTTTACAAGCGAACAGGGCTAAAGGTAGCAAAGCCAAAGAACACATACCTAAGGTCACCAAAAGACAAATACCAACATGTATACGACGCTGCCCTTATTAAATCTTTCAGGTGAAATAGATAATGCAAATAAACTTTAGATATCAAATAATGCAATTATAACATAGTAATAAACCTAGTGAGACGCAAACAATAGAACTGTATTTTGATAGATCTGCTTGTGTATATTTACTTGGCTTGATCACTTACTGGCAATGTGCACTTGGGGAAGTTAATCACGTGTTTATTGTGGAAAACTTGGAAAATGTCAAAGAATTTTTAAAAAGCTTTAATGCATGGAATTCTGGAAAATGTAATTTTAGCTTTCCAACCTTTGTAGTAAAGGAAAATAAGCCAGAACAGGTGCATCTATATTTGCCATGTTTATCATCTTTACCTAAAACATCATCCTAAACACATATGCTAAAGATATTTCCTTTAAGAGCACAAACAGACAGAAACATTCCTCATCAGGTTTATTAATCAATATTGTTTTGGAATTTCCACTAAATGCAATAAAAAAAGTTAAATGATT